CAGACCCTGTTTTTACTTGTAAAGGCACAGCAATATTAAGCAGAGCCTTGTGACAGCACTAAGCTGGCAGTCCAGGGGCTGGGGAAAAGAATGATGATCTTTCAAGCTGTCTCTGATCTTTGAAAGCTCTGAATACCACTGCCTCCAGGAGACTGTGATCCTTTTGGGAATTCATGACAATACCTCTCCTTACTCAGAGTGGCTGCAGATCCTGAGGGTGCCACAGTGCCAGCTGAAGTTTTGGGGAGAAAATCTCTCAGCAATCAGAAGAGGTGAATTCTAAGCTCTTACAGACCACTCCTGGCTATTTGCACCACATAAAACCAGGGCAAGGATCCCAGCATCCTTCTTTGGACAGATGCCCAGCTCCACAAACACAGCCGTAAATTGCCTCTTTCTACCCAAGTCCCCAGAAAAGAAAGAAACACCACCTTCAGGCTGGCTCGTCCTAGTGAGGCTTCTGCAGGCTAGAGCATGGCCCCACAAAGACCTGAAACACAGGAGGCTGGGAAAGGAGGCAGCTGAGGAGAAAGCTCATAGAAACATGACTGGATACATGGCAGTGAATGCTGCTTTGTTCAGGAATAAAGCAGCCTGCAGAAATTATGACCAGGTTCCTTGAAATGGTGTACCTTTCAGCTGATTGTGTGGTAGGCAGGGTGTACTGGTACACAGGTCTGTCAAAACCAACTCTGTGCTGCTGAATGATGTTTCTAGCCCTAGGAGTCCTCAACTCACAGCTGGGGCTTCTCCTCCGTCTGCTCCACTGCATGAACCAGACGTGCACAGAAGTGGAAATCCTTGGAAGTCCTGCTGACATTTCTGCCAATCCTCCCATATTCTTTGAGCCACCTGCCCTTCCTTCAGCCCTTCACAACAATCTCTGCCCACCAGATCATGTCCATACTGAAGAGTAGCATAAGGGTGATGCATTCTCATGAGCAGTCATCACTGTGTCCTGGACTGTCCTTTGGTAAGCCCTGGTCTAAGGTATAGGCACTGTACAAACCCTTTATGAAGCATCCCTACTGCTCAGAGCCCTCTCTTCCTGACATTTTTCTGTGCTAACCCAGACAAACTTGTGACACCTACTGTCAGAGACTCCATGATCCATATTAACACTCAAATCCCAGGAGGGGGAAATAAAACAATCCTGAAAGACAAGAGAAAAAGGGTGGCAAGAAGCTGAAGGCTATAACTGGCTGATAATTAGACAAGTTCAATTGTAGCAGGCTCCTGGAAAGCTCATCAGGAACAATCCCTCACATGGTTTCAGAAAATATGCAACAGGAAATTACAGCCTGGAGGCACTGTGTTCACTAGCAATTCCCAACCAAGGAAAAGAGAGACGACACAAACCAAAATAATTGCATAAGACTCTCTGAGCTTTACATGCAAGCTCTGCACTTGTCAAGGGAAGTGGGCAAGCAGCCAAAAGGGACACAATATGTCACTAATTATCAAATATAGGAGAGAAATAGCTGGCTTGTTGGAGAAACAATTCATAGAAACAGATGAAAATAGTATCTTTTATGATGGAAAAGACCTTTAAGACTATCAAATCCAGCCATGAGTCCAGCACTGCTAATTCCAGCACTAAACCATGCTCCTAAACTCTGAATTTTGTAAATATCTCTAGGGATGGTGATTCAACATATTTCATACAATTTAACTCTGTCTGGAGGAAGGCATTTGGTAAGGTATCTGTGGTGGAAGGCCAGGGGGAAATCCCTTCATGCTCCTTACACTTGGCATAGCTTTTGTATTGAGGCTTCTAAGGGGAGACTCAGCCGGTGCACAGCAGGAACACAAAGCATGCCAGGCATTGCAAGCAGCTTTGAGTAAGAAATGGACAGGATAGGTAATTTTGCACAGGAGTTTGTCACTGTTATAAGGCAAATGAACCCTTCTTGGCAATCCCACAAAGAAGCCAGGTCTCTGTTGCAGGGGGTTTCTTCTCCATTTTTCAGCTAACAAAACAGGGGGAAATGAAGAAAAGTGGAGCCAGGAGGAGTGAGGAAGCCTTCTACATCCCCTATTGCAGCCCGGAGGGACACTGCTTTCCCTCAGATGGGAGAAAGAAAGTACTACAGGTCCAGCTAAGCTGCTCTGAAGCAGAGTTCCAGGTAGTGATTCCCTCCTCTGTGTTCTGCCACTCCCAGTGCACCGACAGACACGTGCCAGTACACGTACAGGTATCCAGCACCACCTTCTCCCTGTGCCTAAGGCCAGACAGAGCATTTAGCCATTGAGTCAGGACTACAGAACAGCACTGAGAACTGTGTCAGCCGGGACACTTCAATAAACGCAAGCTTTTTGTGAATTTCTATGTTATTTCTTTGTTTTCTGGCAGCTAAATGTGAATTTTGGATGCAGTTGTGGGTGGACCTGCAGCCCCCGAGCCAGAGCTACAGGTGCAGGCACTGGGCTCAGCAAAAAAGGACAGAATATAACCCACTCCTTGTTCCCATCACTTTATCTCACTGTATATCTGGGTGGGCTCAGTTAAACCCCTTCCAAATCGCATCTTCAGTCAAGTTCGTGCAGCAGAGCCCCAGCCCCCAGCCTGAGCTATTCCACCGGCTGCCGTGGCATTAAGAGCATCCTGCCGAGGATGCATCCCAGCGGGAGGGGCGGCGGGAGCGCGGGGCCGGGCGGGATGCGCGGGGCTCGGCTTCCCCCTGCGGGCCGCGCCGGGAACGGCGGGATCGGCCGGGAAAGGGCCGGGACACCGGGCACGGCCGCAGCTCCAGCGAGAAAGGTTAAAAGCGGCTAAAAGCGGCGAACTACGCGCTGGACTAAGTGGATATGTGAACATGGAATCACAGAACGGCTCGGGCTGGGAGGAACCTTAAAGATCATCTAGTTACGATCCTCCTCGCCAGCCCCATCCGGCCTGGCTTGGAACACTCACAAGGGTGGGGGTACCCACAGCTTCCCTGGACAGCCTGTTGCAGTGCCTCACCATCCCCACAGTGAAGAATCTCTTCCTAATATCTAATCTAAACCCACCTTCTGTCGGTTTAAAGCCATCGCTACGTGCCCTGGTAGAAAGCCCTTCTCCAGCTCTCTGCAGGTCCCTCTTACACACTGGAAGAATGCTCCAAAGCCTTCCAGGAACCTTCTCTTTTTCGGGCTGATCAGCCCCATCTCTCTCAGCCTCTCTTCACAGGAGAGGTGCTCCAGCTCCCATCTCTCTCAGCCTCTCTTCACAGGCTCCAGCCCCCTGACCATCTTCATGGCCTCCTGTGAGCTCAGTCCAACAGGCCCACATCCTTTTTACACCAGAGGCCCCAGATGCTCCAGGGATGGAGGCATCTGTCCATCTGGGAGCAGGCAGAGGGTCTCCCCAGAGCAGAGCAGAGCAGAGGGGCAGAATCCCCCCTGCTGGCCACACTGCTTTGGATGCTGCCCAGGACAGCCTTGGCTGGCTGGATTGAGAGTAATCGTTGTCATGTCATGACGAACGCCTGGTCAACCAACAGCCTCAAGTCTCCTCAGGAAGAGGTTTTGTCCTTTTGGGAAGGTCAAGAAGGGAAGCTGGTAATTGAAAATACTTGGTGCAGACTTCCTTTTTCAGCACCTTTTTAAAGACCAATCCTAGTACTTCCCCAAATGCTCTGTTATTATTTAACCCAGAAGACTAGAAATTAAGCCTCAGACCAACAAGTATTCCTCCTCTTTCTCCTGTTTCTCCTCCTCCTTCTGCAAAAAGACCTTAGAAATCATCTGCAGGCCTCTAAAAATAGGTATTTTTCTCAGTTTAGCCTATTCTTTGTTCCCAGGGCAAATGTTACTTCTACCTCTAAAACTGTGGCTGAGGAACATCTTGTTTTGCTCTAACCTGACAGAAGATAACCTTTCTTTGCCATCTCCCAACCTCCACAACTCTCCAAGATATGCTAGAGAGTGGGGCAATACACCAACACAGATTCCTTTTAATACTCATGGCTGGCAAGTCAAGGTTCAGTGTACAATTCCCAAAAATCATGTGGCTTTTGAGTGAGTCACATCGTTACCCTTCCCTTTGCATTTGGACTCCTACATACACTATGGTTTGCTGCATAGCCAGAGTTCATTTGCAGAAGGTATCAGCATCATAAACTTGGGTCATGAAGAAATAAATTAACAGTTTGGGCTTTTTTAATTGTTACAGTCATACTTACATGGACTCTTTGGGGAATGCATCCAGCAAGCACTGAGGCAATCTGAGTGCTTCGTCTTTCTTCCATGTCCAGTTTCTTCTGATGTCCCCTCAAAATTATCTGCCTAAAAACCTCCAGAAGTCCACTTGCTGTTATCATTTTAAATAAAGATAAGTAAAGATTGGGTTTGTTTTCTCTCTTTACCTACCTTCCCAATTCTCTCTGAACTTAAAAATAAAACCTAGGTGGCAGCAGAGAAAGATTCTGACTTGACTCACTCAACTACAATACGTACAGTTTTGCATCAATCTTTCAAGGAATTATAGGGCCAATAGCATGAAAGTCATTGGGAAAAAAACAGAGTATTTAATACTGCCAATTTCTTTAACATCAGACTTTACGTCAGTTACAGCAAGCCTGTTATTTTTTACAGAAAGTTCTGTTTTCATTCCCATCTTTCCTGTCAGCTGAGGGCTGAGGGGAGGAAGGCCCCAAGGCTGCAGCTCCTGAAACACACACACACACACACACCTGAGTGGGACTCAAGTGGGTTTTCTTTACTGACAACACGTCAGCTGAGAGAGGGAGCAGCAGAGTGAAACAAGGTACAAAGGAGGAGCTCGGGAGAAAGAGGCACACCTCTTCAGCCTCAACCCTTCACTCAGTCTTTGTATGAAGTGAGGATTTAGCCTCTCTTAGAAGGTCTCTTCTTTCTTTTCTGGACTAGGATAGTTGTTGCTTTTATTTCCCCCCATGTTACAAAAGTAATCATGTCATATGTTAGTGTCCTGAAAATAAAATTGAATGATTATTTGACAAAGAATCAAGTAACAGCAAAGGCTTAAGTAGTTCATATTCAAAAATATTTATTTTTCAGTTGTTCATGATATGTGTCAAATTCTTGGTTACAGCAAAAAAAAAAAAAACAAACAGCATCCCAGTGACATATAATCAAGCCATAAGAGTGCAGTTTATTATAACTGTGTAAACAAAAACAAGTATTTCTGTAATGGCACTGTCCATGAACCAGATTATGGCATATAGAATCCCAGCAAAAGTCTAGAGAAACTTTTACAAAGAAAACAAACTCCCAAATTGAGTTTGGGAGTATATGAACCTGGCCAAAATGGCTCAACCCACATTTAATCAGAGAAAAATTGTCCCCAGAATTTTTGCTTGGCTTGTTCTTAAGGAAATTAAATCTTCATTGTTTTCAAGGCATCAATCCAGCACATGAAATAATACTATTATTGAATAACATGAATAAAGAGCATACATCTCTTAATTATGACAATGTGAATACCCCTACTGATACATTATTAAAGATGAGATGATTTGAGAATGTTATTGCTTGCATAGCATGACACCTTTAAAAGATATTCCTTAAAAATAAGTTACTGAGAAATAAAATTCAAAGTACACCATCAAAGAAACTTTTTTGTGCATAAATATCAAAAAAGTAGAATCTTATTTTTATGCAATGGAAGTAAACAATTTGATTATAATACAAGGTACATAGTGTAAACTGTAGGATGCACTTTGAACTTTATATATACTAATCTTGAACATATTTTACACATCAGCATCTAAAATGGGATTAAAAAATTATAGGGTGTTTTTCTAGATCATGCATTAGTTACAGCTTGCTTGATGGCCATAATTTTGCCAGCTGCCTTTTAGTGTTCTGCGAGATCCATCCTATTAATAAAAACACACAGGTCTGAATTCCACTACATTTTATGCATATACCTTTCATTCAGGAAGTTTTGCATGTGTTCCATCTGCAGAGAGTAGGTCCCACAACAGCAGGAGGTAAAGACAGAGCAACTAAGGTACAGTTACTAAAAAGGATTGGACAGATGGGAGCATATAATATAATTACAAGCTGGTATCTTCAGTTTACAGAAAGCTATAAATTTGCTTGTTAAAAAAAAATAGACATCCAACATGTGGTTACTCACATACTGACACAGAGTTCATGCAAACAATTTTTTTAAATCTTACCCATTTTATCCTTCAGAAATGCTGCTTATAGTTCATCCTCAAATAAACTGAGGTCCCCTCAGAAACAGCAGGGGCCTGATGTGCATATTGACTCAAGCAAAATGTAATTAATTGCTTCCTCCACACTGAGACGTGAACAGAAGTATCAAACAGATTTCATTGAACTGGGCTTCATTTCAACACTGTTAGGTCCAAATCCGGGTTCACTTGTCATTAAGCAATAAGACTACCTTAAAAAAAATAAAGTTATTTTCTTGGAGGAAGAACATTTTCTTCATAATACCCTGGATTTACTACATTTCCAGCTGGATCATATCTAGCCACCACAAATGTTGAGCCATCACTAGCAGATGCCTTTCCAACTCCCATCTTTTTTGTGTTCTTCCAAACCATTGCTGTAAAGTGACCTGAAGAAAGAGAGAGAAACATAAACAATCCCTTTAGATACTAAGTCTGTAACATTTTCTTTAACATGTGAGGTGGTAGGGGAAAAAAGAACAATACACAGCTGCTTTTTTGTTTAACATGAGAACAAGCTAAGGACATGAAAAGGAACCCTACCTCTAGCATTTTGTCTTGAAAATCCCTAACCTGATGCGTTTTCATACTACTATTCCCATTTCCATGTTCTTCATCCAAATAAGAACATGTAGCAGGAGAATTGTGAAAGAAGTAGTTGGATAAGTGTCTGATGCAAAATTTGTCAAAGACATCACAGTCTGTACTCCCCACAGTGTGAACAGCAGTTCTGGGAGTGACTATTATTCACTTGCTTTAACTGCCTCATACTCCCCCATGTGTTTGCATGTGCAACTCTTCAAAAACCCCACTATTTTTGTTGCTTCTTCTGCCTAGTTTAATAGCCACCCCCACATTGTTGTTCCCACTATCCATAGGCAAATCCCAAAATCAGGGAGAAAAGCATGATTTTCTTAATCTGAAACAAGGTCAGGTACCACTCTTGCTTGAGCGCTATTTGAGAAACAACATTCTCAAATCCATTTTGCACTAGATTGTCAATATGCAGCCAACAACCTGTTCCCAGTCTCCAAATTTTAGTTGAAGTGATCTCTGTGAGTGGAGTGATATAATTCAGCAGAAATCACATGTCAATGTAAACAACACAGTACATTTAGTAAGACTCCTATATGATTCCAATTTAGCATTTCTTACAAATTAATTTGCCTTAAAAATAAGTTGCCTGTTTAAAACTTTGAAGTCAGAGGAAAAATGCAGTACTAAAAAATGCCAAAATTTTGCTTATTTTCTAATTTCTCAGGGTTTTTTATATTTTGTCAGTTTTTAGCATAACAGTAGAAGTTTCTTTTTTGAAGAGACAGTTCCCAGTCTGGACTTACCTGTCCTAGAAGAAAACCCTGGGTTTTGAAAGCTGTAATTTTTTATTTCACTGTACCATCTGTCAGCCACATCTTTTCCTGAAAGACAAAAGAAATGTGCTGTAGAATCATGACATAAACACAAAACTGTAGCTCACTTACAGCCTGGCCAGTAAGATCTTCTGTAACTTTCAGCTTGGAAGGTAATGAAGACACATCTCCCTCATCTTGGATAAGTGCTCCAGTCATCAGGCTCATACATACAGCTTGCACCAGCTTCTTCCTCTTGAAATGCGTTTGAAAATGCCTAAGTGTGCCAGATTTTCTAAGCAAAAAGCCACACCTGTGGATGTTTACCCCTTCCAACTCCAGATAAACAAAAGAAAAATTAAATTTCTGATGTATTTTTAGTTTTCCATGTTCTCACCAGCATTGAATATTTCTGATTTTTGAGTGCATTATTTTTTGTGGTTTCTACCTAGCACTAAAGCCATTGTGAAGGCCCATTTTGAGGCAGTATAATCTGGGGTGCTACAGAAACCTCAAATATTCATACTTAGGAGCTGTTTCTGTATGGAAGTCTGTGTGTCCAGCATTGTCTCATTCCACCCAAGGCTTTCCCTGACAACAGCTGTATATAGACTATGACTATGGCCATGTAGCTCAGACCAGCATCTGCAGATGCAATGCAGACAAATGCCAAATGTTACTTGTTTTCCATTACTGGTTGTTAGGAAATTCTTGTGCCAAACACTGGGGAGATGAGAGAGGTCAGGTTTTTCCCTGAGCAAACTTGATAATTAAATTTCTGCTTAGCATTCCGGGATGTATAGTCCACACAAGGCCAGGAGATTTCAAAGCAAGCTGCCAAAGCTGTTAAGCCTGCCATCATGAAGAATGCTGGTCCCTGGTGGATCTGTTGGCTGCAGAAGAGCAATGACTCATGCTTTGCTATTTTACAGCAAAAAGTCTTAAACTTGTGCACTTCTAGAAGTCAGACACTACATCAACTTCTTTAAGCTTCAGTTTGTTATGACTGAAGTCAGCTAAAAGGATGATGCTGTTAGCCTGGCAAGTTGGTTGTCAGAGCCATGGCTGATAAGCAAATATTCAATGAAATGCTGTCTCTAGAGAGGCTTATGAACTTGCAGGACTATGAACTTATATGCCACACTGGTCATTAGGAATAGTGCTGAGTAAATAATTTTTTCTACATAAAAAGGTAACAAAACATCTCTTGCCTCCCAAAGAAAAAGTTTCAGGAATAACAATTGTTTTCTTCTTTTCCTTCTCTCTTTGCATGGGAAAAGCAAACCCAGTAGACCTCTATTATGGTTGAAGTATGCAACACATACTTATTTGTTAGTTTCTTACTCACACTGAAGTTAAAATGAAGACAAAAAAAAAAAAAAAAGAAAGTGCAAATAGTGACTTTTATGCAATACAAGAGGAAAAGAAAAAGCACATAGTAAAAAAACCACACAACAAACCAATCAGATCATGCTGTCCCACTCTAGATTTCATGGCTATGAAGGATTTAGATGGGTTTGTGGTAAGCTGGGTGTAACAGAACTACAGAAGGTGACTGCTGACAGATCAGGCCTTATGAAGCCCATGTATTCTATGTGTACTAGTGCTGAAGTGACTATACTACATAAGCAAGATTTTAGCAGATGTAGGACTGCATTCTCACTGCTGCCAGCTTTTTATTCCTTCTGTTAATGTATCAGTGTGATATAGTATAAACAGTATTTAAAGAGAAAGTCACCCCCACTCTGTTTACTGTAGCTCTGAGAAGTGTGCCTAGGCTGCACGTGACAGAACTTAAAATCTCCATAATGCAAGTATTGCAGGGCACATGGAAGTTTTGGAAAACACAATATCTCTTAAAAATTAATTTGTTTTTAATTTAAAGAATACTATCATTTGAAAAATTGCTTGCTTTTTAGTTCAAGGGAGATAACAATGGCATCAAGTAAGACTGCCTCAATCCTGTACCTGAAAGACAATGAGCATAGTTGGGCAGCACAGTATATCATGTGTTAATTCCCAGATTTCAAGGCTGAAAGCTTTCAACTGACTGAGGCCAGGCAGTTAAAGCAGAGAAGCTGATCACTATTCTACATTTTTCACATGCAAGATCAAGTTTTCATTAAATAGCATTGCTGTCACCATCCTTGAGTTGTGGCCTCGTAAACTGTGGGAAAATAAAGACTGACTTTTTTCCAGCATAAGAGAAGGTCACCCAAGGACTATGCAACTTTTGACAAACTTTGTCTTGAAATCATTTTAGAGAAGTGTCCTGTAAGTGAAGGGAATGAATGGTATCTGTCACATGGCACAGGAAGTGGGGGGGGATCCAATGTGGAAGCTGTTACCAACTGAGAAGACACATAGGGACCTAGTGATTAAACAGTCTCTCTCTCCTCTGAAATACTTTTCTTCTGATTCTTTGGCCTTTGTAGAGCAGTAAACAGTGCCCTGGTGGGACACAAGCCAAACCAGTGTTGAAAATGACAGCTGGCACACAGGAGACTAAGGAAAATCCCTGTTTTGAACCCAGTGACTTCCAGGCTTCCAGAGAGAAAACAGCACAAGGGTCAGGAGTGCACTGAGCCTACCTGCTTTAGCAGCCACTTGCATCTTCAGACTTACTGGTCCAGAAAACTGACCACAATATTTCCATTTAAATGTATTATGGAATAAATTATGCAGTCATATTTAGAGTCTGTTTTGATTGCTTTTGATGTTTTATTGAAAACTGCTCCCCCTGCTCCCAAAGTTCCCCCAAAACAAAGGAAGTTGGTTGCTGTTCAAAATGCTTTTCAGTCAGAAAGAAAAAAACACAGAAAAGAAATTGCTCACATTCCTCATTCCTGATCAGAGCAGAAATTATAAAGTTTACTCCTCTCAAGAAGCACATGGATCTGCCCTGCAGTCAGAGCTGCAGCTTCTATTCTGTTGCTCTGCTTGTGAGACTGATTAATAAATATTCTGCTGGGCTTTTTTTATCACCCTTCCTCTTTGCACTGCTGTAAACTACACTCAGAGTTCCAACACTTTCACTATGGAAACACAGTTTGACTCCACCCTTCCCCCAGTGAGGGAGAGCTCACTGATGACCTGCTCAGCTCGGCTTACTGGATGTTCATTTCAGAACAGGCTGAATCTCACTCTAATGAATTTAGATGGGCAATCTTCCTCAGGTGAAAACTTGCTGCAACGATCCTTGAACTAATGTCCTAGTTTTGCCCAAGACTGGGACCAGAACCAGCAAAGGGATTTGATTTTACTTACACAAGCTACATACTTGCAACGTGGCCACACTGACTGTGCCTCAAGCTTCCTCAGAGGGTCAGAGAAGTGACCACGAGGGCTCAGTCCATATGTAGGACTAACAGTTTAAATAATGTCCCCCTTATTATCAAGGGGCCACTGCATGTAGGCAGTGACCTGGCCAAGCTCTGTATTTTTCAGCTGTGCTGTTGTCTCATTAAATGTCATTTTTATCTGTTGTGGGTGAGGAGCTCCATTCTGTGTGGATGTTGAGAGTGTGAGTGCCTTTGTACCAGACCAAGGGTTGCGGGGACCTCTGCATCTGTGGAGCACCAGCAAAGCACAAGAGGGACCAGCTGGTGAGCAGGTGAAGGGCTCTGGGGGGAGCTGCAGAAGTGTATGGCCATGGCAGGGTGGTTCTGGTCAGCAGCCAGGGGCCTCTGTGTGTGTGTGAGATGCGCTGTGTGTGCTGGTGACTGGAGTGGAACTGCAGCCTTAGGAATTGGTATGTCCAGGTGCAAGCTACTGGTGAGATTGGGATCCAGGGACAGCTACTGGGCAGACTGAGTGTCTGAGCTCAGCTACTGCTGGGATCCACACTGGAATTCTGTTTCTATTATATACATATATATATATATATATATATATATACACACATATGTAATTTAACACTATACAACATACATTATATCCACTTTGAAATCATTTACTGAGAAATAGATACTTGTATTTTACATACTATATTAATTTACTTATATCTACTCCAGTAACGTATATTGGAACATATATTGGAATCACCTGGAAAAGGAAAGAGGAAGTGCCACTAGTGCTGTTCATTTTCATTTTAATACTGACTGCATCTATTTGTGCTGCTCTGCACATAAACAAATGTCTATGCTATATGTGTGTTTGTGTGTGTAAGGCTGGAAACACATTCCCAGCCTGTGCAAGACACACATTCCCAGCCTCACCACTGGGAGCACAATGCTGTGGCAGCCTGTTCCTGTATTTAGGTCACTTCAACTGGGCCCAGTTAATTTCTCTGGGCCCAGCCTTACTGTTTCTCCTCATATAAAGAATGCTTAAATCCTCAAGTAATCCCACTAAGTTGCTAAAATCATCCTAATAGAATCACACAGACCATATTTCTCTGCAAATGGGCAGCACCTTGTGATCTACTTAAAAACTAAGTTTTTACAACATTCCTTCCACCAGTCTGAGAGGAAAGAGGTAGATTTAACATTGCCTTTGAAATAAAAGATCTACCTAGACTAAAGTCTTACCAATGGCTTTTAGAAGTAATTTTCTGCTTTCAATACCACTCATGCAGGTCCTTACTTTATTTTTCCTTTATTTAACACTATTGTATAAGCCTGGTGTTAGACAGCAAGAGATACATCAAGGCAGGCCTTCAGTCAGAGCACAATCCTCCAGGGCTTGGACAGACAGTGCCTGTGCTGTTCTGCACACTAGTCCCAACCTTGGGAGACCCTGATTCCTCCCGTGACAGATTTGGGGGATAGCTAACTGGATTTCTCTTACAAACTCTCTAGACTTCATAAACCATAGTGCTTCCACCAGCAAAAGGGCAGGTTCTTCTCAGCCACACCATCCATCCCAAACAGAACTCAGACATCCAGTGCTTGCCTTCAGCCCCCCAACACAGGAGAAATGAGATGAGGAATCCTGAGAAGCCTGACAAAGCACAGCTGCCAAGGCAGGCTGCGGTCTCTCGCATTAGTGGCAGATGACAGCTCACTTATTTGAACACAGACAAAGAAAAGTCTGCCACAGAGCAGTTCCTGCAGGACTGGAGGGAGGAAACAGCTGTCAACTCTTTCTTGGATTACAGGGATAAACATATTTCTAGCAACAGCTTTAGGCTATGTAACTCTAAAATCCTGAATAGAATTCAAGGTATTCTAGTACCAGGAGAGGAGTCATATTAGAAGGCTTTATAGTTGAAAGCTTAAGCCTTCCCTGAAACAAGAAATGCATCTTCTGGCATTATTACAGAACTCAGCAAGAGCCAAAATAAACAACAGCATCACTTTTTGAGAGAGAATACAAAGTATTCTAGAGGTTTATTGAGTCTTGCTTTATCTGGGAAAGAAACCAGAAGACACTGCCTGCCTTTGTTAAGCCTCTGAATGGATGTCTTAATCCAAATTTCTGCCTCATTGATCAGGGTACAAATTAACTATCCAGAGGGAACTATATGAAAAAAAGAGGAAGAATGAACCAACTCCACAGAGGTGAAGACTATGCCTAGCTGAGAAAATAACTTCCTTTGAAAAACTAGCTTTCTCATTCTGGTACTCCGAGTGATCCTGTTGCATTGGAAATGTAGAAATGTTTCGCAGAACAAAAGAGGATGTAGCTTAATTTGCTCAACATGGTATTTAATCCTGTGGATAAAAACCAGCAAAGCTTCTCAAAACTGTAAAGTTATGTATGGAAACTGTGCATTGAAGAAAACAGACCAGATCCAGTGAAAAGACAGACATTCTGTAGAAGGATTTGTGAGCAATGTTTCCAGCTCTCTAAAAGGGAATTCAGTGGCTTTAACCTCAAGGGAAGGAGCACAGGCCAGTAACACAAACAAGAGAGCTAAGCTCAGTCAGTGAGTCATAGCCACTATGCAAACTCTGCTGGACATCTGTGTTTTCCCATGCTGCTCCGAATCCTTTCCTCACACCCTTGCAAAGGACAGAATGCCAAATATGAGCAGATCAAATTGTATTTTTCCACCATGGGTTTCTTCTTCAACAGGAAAACTGGGACTAGAGTTGGCACTTGAAGAGGAACCAAACAGCATCCCTGGGACTAAAACTCCCTAAAATTTCCAGGTCCTTCAAACAGAGCCTCCAGCCTACAGAAACGAGCTTCTGTTTCTTTGGGGCTGTGCTGGAAATTCCAGGGGTAGATTGGAATAAAGAAAGCAAGTGGTCACTTTTAATACATCCCACCTGCTGTCCCAGCAGGCTGAGGCATGAGCCCTACTCACTGGAAGGAGGCAGAAGGGAAGAGCCTGCTGAATCTCTCTCCAGCTGAGGGCTTACAACAGGCTGTCAGCCTGACCAAAATTCAGCTCCTGGGGCAACCAAACCAAAGGCTCCCAGTTACAAATTACATTTACCATCAGAACATACATGGAGTAAAATAGTTTTAAAAAATGTAATAATGAAAAAGGGCTTAAAGCTGTTTGCTGACAGAGTGGAAGATATTAGTGGAAGGACATTAGCCACTGTCACTTTGGTGTCCAGTCCCCTGCTTTTGCCCCCACAAGCAAGAACTGCTGTACAGTGTGCAAGAGACATTTTTCCACTTCCCTCACCACAGCTGGGCTGTGGGCAGACCTCTCTTTGGCTGGGACAAACTAAGGATAAAGGTGAAGTAGGGGGAATTGTTGACTTCCTTCTCTCCTGCATGGACACACAAGTACTTCTAAAGACACAGGCTCTAAAGACAGCTCCACAGAAGGGACACAGGGAGCAGTGTAGCTGCCAAGTCCTTCCTCCAAGAGACATAACACACCACCAGTAAGGAGTCCCTTACTCCCTCTGTGCCCACATATGCTTCTCACTTTCAGGACACATAGGTGACTGCAGCCACCAGCCTGTCCCCAGGGAGCATGGGCTGGGCTATGCTGCACACATTTTTGAAATAGAGGAAACTCCAGCACTCTTGATACCAGATGCAACCCAAAGTACTTGAGATAAGGCATTTATCAGGTGTCTATGAAACAAGAGAAGAGAGCTCACCTGATTGGTCATAGGATGCCCATGCCAGGTTTTCTCCACAATTCCCATTAGCAGACTCAGAGCTGTGCTTGAGGACCCTCGTGGTAGCCAGTTCCTCTGCATACCTAGCAAAGGAATCCACACATTGAGTCAGGGACCACAGGAGGAAAGGAAGGATATGCAAGCAAGGAATTGTGCTGGAAGATGACGGGTTTAAGTCAAGTTGCAAAGCCCTGAAGCCAGAGATGCTTTAAGGTTACATAGATCAATGAGTTAGGCAAAGGAAAAACACATTTTCCCTGTCTTTCATGAGCATCTGCATAAATTCTGAGAAGGACCTAGAAGAAATCAAAGGGCAGATCCATTTGCACCACATTTTAACCAGCACCTGAAAATCCAACAGCCATCCTTAGCTACAGCTGGTGGTGGAAAGGGAAGTACCTACAGCAATTGCTACAAGTGCCACCTCCTGGCATTTCTAGGTCTCTCACAGGAGTATATTAAATGTTCTCAGTGAGACTGGAAAAAAACCACAAGTGGGAATTCAGTCAAAGTAAGTGTAAACCCCCTACATTTACAAATGAAAAAAAAGTAAAATGTAAAAAAAAAAGAGCAATGTACCAGGCAATAAGATGGAAGAGAAGGGGATCACATGGAGACTCTGAGGCAACAACTGTGTAAACCAACACAGGGATAAGCAGCCAAGTGTAAATCCCCTTCATTTACAAAAGAAAAAAAAGTAAAATGTAAAAAAAAAGAGCAATGTACCAGGCAATAAGATGGAAGAGAAGGGGATCACATGGAGACTCTGAGGCAACAACTGTGTAAACCAACACAGGGATAAGCAGCACTGTTTCTATAGAATTTGACATGTGTGCAAATGTGGGATGTATTTTATTTTCTTAGAACAATAGGGTTAAGAAGAACATCACGGGTAAAGCAATTACTCTCTTTATTCAACATTGGAAAGGCTTCAGTACAGAGACAGGGAAATTGGAAAGACCATTTGTTATTTCTTATAGTGGCAACAGAGAGTCATCAGGTCACAGATTTAAAATTCAAGTGAGACAAAGCTCTTTTTCCACACTGTGCAGCAGAAGTCATTTCCACAGGACAATGCAGGTATCTAAGCACATGTGAGTTTGAAAAAGAGAGAGGCAAATTCACAGTGTATGAATGTGGGGAGGAATCTTCACAGCATATTAAACAACAGCAACAAATAAATGAGGATACAATTACTGCTTAGTAAAATGGTAATTTCCAGGATAAATCTGTAATTTCCAGAAGAAAATAATGGAGGAAGGATCACATTTTTTTTGTCCTCCTACTCCTTCCCTAATCATGAATTACTGGCATCTGCCAGAGACATGAATTTTGTCCAGCTGAACATTTTGACCCAAGCTAGTACTTCAGTCATTAGGTTCTAATTTCCTTCTGCCCTAATCCTCCCACCAAAGCAAAAAGAAGAGTAATTAGCTACATCCATTAATTTAGAAATAATGAAAACTTGTCAGTTGTCAGTTTGCTAGATCCTGGACCAGAGGATCTTTAGGTGCTGTCTCTACAGTCCTGTAATTTTTCTCAGGATCCTCATATCCCAAGTAAGAGGCAGGACTGAAACTAGGTACACATTGCAGATGGATGAAGCTGCCAGGGATTTGAGACAAAAGGTGATTAATCCACTCCAGCTCAGGCAGTTGAAAGCATGAGATTTTCATCTGAGATCATCACCCTGTGCTTCATTACAGTCAGAGATAAACAGACACCTGCTGAGGCTGACTCATCTCTTGTTAAAGCAGGAATTCAATACTCAGTTCACCTGTCACAATAACTGGGCCTGAAAATAGTAGGAAACATACCATTTTCAACACAGGTAGAGAAGCACAGAAAAGCACCCAGAGAGAAAAGTACCCAAATACATACCACCAAAGATATATAAATAGGATATACCCAAAGAAAAGGTGAAAATCTTCTTTTAATTTAAGAACATAAAAAAATCTGTCTTGAAAAATATGAGATTTCTTAAATTTCATATATTTTATTCAGACCAAAATATTTCTTGTTCTTGCATCAACCAGTTTTATCAGTCTCTGAACATGTCTTTTAATTCTTACAAGTTACAGACCTCAACCAAAGAGAGGTTTCCTATTGTTGTTCATTGCAGGAGGGCCTCAGCTGAGACCAAAGAGGGCTGTGAAAAATTTCTGAAGGATCTAAAAATACCCAGCAAGGGCAGCAGCACACTCAGAGATAAATGTGGAGCAATGCATATTCGATAGAATAATCTGAACTATTCATGCAAGCTGACTTGTTCAAACTGAGTGTTGCACTTCTGAGACCCAACAAGTGCTATTGACAAGTCAATGAAATCTCTTCTTCACCGTGAGCATTAAAAACAGAAACAAAAAAAGCCCTTAGAAGAACAGAAGGAAAGTCCCAGCAGATTACAAAGTTGGTGAATGAGTCACTAGCATTCTACATTTTAGGAATACTGAAAAAAAAAAAAAAAAAAAGTGAAAACACCAATATTTCAAGATTTTTCTTGATGACATGTCCACATGCCAGTTACATGGTTTGTTGTACAGCACAACATCTGGGAGAAATCTAGAAGTCAGGAGCCAGTTCATCTGTGTTCCATCTTGCTGGGACAATAAATCAGGTTCTGGAAAGACTACAGCATCTCTCTCTCCCAATCACCCAGCATAGAGGAATCTGTATGGTCACGGTGGAAAGCCAATGGAAGGAGATTTTATGTCTGGAGGAGGGATCAAACTGCCCACTACTTAGTATAATTTATCTTCTGAATAGTTTAATCAGCATTTACTATTTCAGTTATCTCCTTTGTACTGGGAGAATCAGCATGAAAAGTAATTGAAGATTTTTAAATCTACTTTTTGAAAAAGATTGCTGTAAAGAGAAGGGAATTAATCTGGTTATTGTAACTACAGTAAAGAGGACAAGCAGTATTGGACTTGAATTTCTTAAGGAAGACTCAAATCAGAGAGCAGGAAGATGGATTCACTGCATATTAGACTGAGAAGTAGAGCAGTCTTGAACACTGGAGTAGAGGCAAGATGTTTCCTTCCTGACAGAACAGAGGACATATAATATTTTACTTTTGTGGCTGGGAGATATATAAATTAATCAGAAATTACTTCCTCCTGATTCCACTGATCTTAGACCAGTCACAGTTTCTTACCGTGAAAAAGTTCTTTTCCCACTATTTCAGCAGGAGTAGATCTTCTCCTGCAGATGACAATCCCTCATCTGACAGAAGTGGTGGTGAAGCATGTTTTAGACAACTGCCCTCTGCAGAGGACACCTACCAGTGCAGACAGATGTAGTCCACATCTGAAAAAGGCTCCATTTGTACAGCTGTGATGGTCATATGTCCATGTGACCAGCTACTACTATATGATGGAAAAAGAGGGGATGAAAGAGTAGAGTCCCTCACTTTCTACTCAGTAAGTCTTCACTGTTTATCAGCATGTCAAAAGGCAAATATCTTTGCAGTAAACACAGTCAAACCCAACAGATAAAAGTGTCACAAATCTCATTAGAGAAAAGAAAGGACTGAACTCACTGTTGGGCTCCTCTGTTTAACTTCTTGCAGAGTTTTAATGGGGGGACTCCATGTTTCTTCCTGTAGTCATTGTGTACTTTCAAGACTTCTTCAGCAAATTGTTTGGAAGCTGAAATCACATTAAAAAAAATGGAAAGGTCTGTCAAATACAGATATTAGTGAAGACAGAAAAACATACTCTGAACCCAAGCCCTGATGCCGGCTGGACAGTAGAACTTAAGGGTACCACCCTCATTACCTGGCAGCAGGATGAAATGAACCACTGACTTCCATCCAGAAACAAACTCCAACAGACACTCCCATTGGGAAGCTACAGACTCACCAAAGGTTGAATAAAACTGTGATACTTACTGCTTTCCTCTATAGCAAGATGATTTAATCAATCATTTTGTCAATTTAAAACTGAAATCAGTTAGACTGACTTTCATTTTAAGCTATCAGTGCAGTGCATCAGCATTCCAATCTCAGAGTAAGCAACAAATATGTCCTTTGAGGAGATGCATTAAAATTGCAAATTATTGTCCCTCTATGCAAGAATTGTCTGTATTAGTCAGGGCACCACCTAAAGAGAATGAAGATACTAAAATGTTTAGATCTCTGCAAGTACTTGGAAACATACACCACTCTTCTAATTAATTTTACAGTACAAATTCATAGAAATCTCAAAATGCACCTTTATTTGGCTCAAGACAAATGTTCACAAACAGCAAGTGGTAAGGAAAGAAACAACTACTATGGCATGGGTTTTTATATTTATTAATGATTCATCAGCTTCATTTCTGAATATCTCAGTTAGCATGACTACCATAATTTTCCTCGTAAGACACTTGGGAAACCCAAACAGCTCCTATGACTAGAAAGAGTTTCTTGTTATTAACCTTAGATTTCTCAACTTCCTCTCACTACTTGATCCTGACAACTAAAATCAATCATTCTCTGCTGTATTAGCATGATTCTCTTCTGCTGTTTGTAATGATGCACTTTCCCCAAAATAGAGCTGTCAGTTTGCACATGCTGCTCTCAGAACTTTTTCCTAAGCTCACCCTCATGCTTTAGGCTGCTCTTGGAGTTCTCTCCAGTTTCCTCAATAGCACTGGGATAATACAGCAGATAATAATACACAGATAATACAGCCTAAAATAATCTCAGTATCCAATGCACACAAGAAAGCCATTACGGTTTCATGCAGTACCTTAAGTCTTTTGAACACAGTCTGAAGTTGGGTTGACTCTTTCCTGATCAAAGTGTCATTGTGGACATATATCTAACATATTCTCCATAACATGCTTTCAGGTTCATTCTTTTGGTATCAGTTTGTTGGTGTAACACAGCAGCCCTGTTGAACAAAGTGACATTTGCTCACCACCTTCCTCCTCTTCAGTTCTCCCTCAATTTTATGTATCACAAGTCGCACATCACCAGGAAAACAAGCACCTCCACTCTGGTATTCAAGCACACAAACTCCTTTTTGCTAATGAACCTGTCCCATCACTCTTGTTACTACAGCTCACTGATTCTATCAGGCCAGAGTCCTAAACCTCTCATCTGCTCTGTTACAGAGGTAGCCAATTTCTACAGCATCTATCAGAAGTCACTGAGGAAAGCAAGCCTACATCCAGTTCATGCCCTTCCCTGATGCAGGGGGTCCAAGTTTCCAGCAAGGAAATGTTAAGACAACCTATAAATAAAGACATTGAAAAACACAGCTTTGAAAGTTGCATTACATACTCCAGACTACTTTTTTTCTCTTGAGACCATGCTGAACTTGTGCCTGTTATCACCTAGAGTTAGCATCTCACCCACTCAGCACTGAAATCGTAGATAAACAATCTGACCTGCAAATACGGAAGTTTCTATCCAAATAATTTGCTCTCAATGACAACATCAAATTGAAATTCTAATTTAAAAAAAATCAACTGAAATACAGATTTCACCAGTGCCCAGTCCATACATTAACAGAAATACTGCATAATGTAGCTCTGTACTAACTTTCTGACTTAAAAAGAGTAACAAGTCATGGACAAAACTGAGTTGCTTCTAGCTGCAACAGGCATTGCTATGCTGTCCCTGGAGAACCTCCATCCTCCCCTTCCCTCAAAGGTGGCTGCTATAGAAATGCTTATCTTCTGTGACTCAAGCTCATGTGCTAATCACCTCCCTCTGTACAGCTTTTCCCGTGCCTGATGATGTGTGGAGAGGGACGCCCAAGTGCCAGATATATTTCAGATTTGTTTCAGAATGCATGTTAAGTTTTTCCATTTTACTGGTGTTCCACATACTGAGAAGCCAGGCATTAAAAGTGCAAGTTAGTGGGAGTTTTCAGGCTCCCACCCAAATGGGAACAGTTTCCCAAACAGCTGTGGAGACGTACTTCTTTCCCTTCATGTAAGCTGCTTAAGCTGCTAGAAAAAAAATTATTTTCTACTGCCAGAGAGTTAAGCTTGGTCATGAATCATTACACACATTACACACCTTAATAAGTAAAACAACTGAAGGTATTAGATACAGTTGCTGGCTCCTCAATATTCAATTATTTGCCTCCATTTCTTATTCTTCTGGAACACTGGCTAAGATAATGGCAGCATGTGACAATGAATTTCTAGGCTATGATGTGGTACAGAGCATACCTTACAGCTGTTATGCTCTTGGACTTCCAGGTTCATTGATCAGCTTTCTGTGGCAGGCAAAAATAGGCACAGGAATCTAGGTTGCCTTTTCCCATCACATTTGTTTTTCAGAGAATCCTATTTCTCTATTCTTACTGTCTCTAAACAGTGCCAATCTACTCAGTCTTTCTTGCATGAAGAGCTCTTCATGCCTGAATCCATACAGCCTCTTGTTAGAGCTGTCTTCTTCTGCCATTTCTACTTTAGTTTGGGCACCAAAACAAAGGTGAGTTGTCTGAACATGCGTTCCACAACATGAGCTGCCCTGCATCACCTTTGCAGCTGTCAGCTGCACCTCCTCCTCCTAGAAATTTGCTCTTTTATTAACAGGACACTGCATGTTACTTCCATGTTACTGTTTTGGGCCCAGAACCAGGCAGAAAGAAACAGTCCTGCTTCCAGCCAGACCAGGGCTAATTTTTGCAATAGCCAGGAGGGACCACAGCTAGGACCTGGAGATTATTCTATACCACCCCTCATAATTTTCCAGGTATGGGGGAAGGGGTCTCTTCCATGTCAAGGTAGTGTGGCATGATCAGCTATTTTAGTCTCTGAGTGGTAGTGAGCGTTTGCATATGAATCACTCACCTGTCCTGTACATATTTCTATTAATATTGTTGCTGTTACTCTTTGTTTTCTTCCTGTTTCCAGTAAATTGTCTCTCATTGCTGTTTCCAGTAAATTGTTCTTCTCTCGACAAGTCTTTGCTTTTTGCTTCTCCAATTCTCCTCTCCAGCTACCCATGGGAGGGGAGAGAGGAGAATGAGAGAGCAGTGCATCATTTGGGGAGGTTTCAGTAGGAACACTAAACTGGAGAAAACCATTCCTAAACTACAACAGAAGCCAAGTGCCAGAATACATGGAGAGGACAGATGAAAAGTAGATAGAAAACACATAAGAAGTAATCAAGTAATTGTTTAAACACTGAGTTTAAAACCAAAATCCCTTCAGTTTCCCTGGATTCTGCAGAATTGCTCTACTCTCTCCTGGTAGCAGAAGTGGGTTATGGAATAAGAATGCAGCAAATGCATCTTTTAGTATGCCCGACAGGTTTGTGGAAAAAAATAATTAGAATGTTTATGGAACTGTAAAGTAATTACATCAAAAAGTCCTTTGTTACTGTCTCAGGTAACTGATACTTTTATTGTGAACAAACTTCTCAAAGTATATTCACCGACTGGAAACAAACAAAATTCTCAAGTAAAGGAGATCCCAGCTTCTAAAGACCACATTTGCATCTAGACTCTTTTAAGAGAGCTGACATTATTAATCTTTATCCACACTTGAAATGTAACTCTCTGGAAACCATCCCTAGCTGAATCTTTCCCACTGTGAGAATAGCATTCCTTCTATGGAGAAGTGATAGATGTCTAACTGATATGAGAAATGTTAAGAAGACAGTCATGTTCCACTGCACTTTGACTCAGCACTTTGGTTTGAAGCCACAAATGCTTCAGGGTGGTCTCATGCTGGCTGGTGTCTGCAGCAACACAGGGAGTGAATGTTCCATGCTTCTTTCTCCACATATTTAACGGCACTCTCTTGCCCTCCTTTTGGAGATTCCAAGACTAGCTCTATGTCATTTGGGAAAATGGATCTGACACTCCAATTCATGAAATATTTCCAGCCATAAAAACTTATCTCCCCAAGTGTTAAACTCCCCTTTTCTCTAACATAACTGGCTGATTGCTTGGAAATTTGCAGAATAAATGAAACCATGTATAAATCCTGGAGGAAAGAAAAGATTAAATCATACTATGTTTAGAAAGTATTGTATCCTGGGTGGGGTTTCCTTGTCTCCTTTTACACAATCAAGAATTCAGTAAAGGAGCAAGGTCTCCATTGTACACAATAGTCATTTATGAGAGATATCATAATGGTGGTACATGACTTCCCTTCCAACCTGAATTATCCTGTAACCTTACTAAAAGTTAGAAGAGAAAGTACTGCTGATGGAAGTGAAGGGAATTGGGAGTTATAATTAGATACTAGTTTAAATGGGAGTAGTTTCCTGGAACGTTCCTATGTTTGCTGCTCAAAATAGCTTTCTCTTCTGCTCAGGAGATCCTTCAGGAAGGAGTTTCTGTGATGTTTCAGTTTTGCCTGAATTTGCTCACACACTTGCTTATCACTGGGATGAGCTTCAGGACAACAGTGAGATGTCTGAGTTAACTGCATCTGATGGACAAGAACACCACACATTTTAATATCTGGGCTTGCTCTACAGCAAACTGCAACTTAATAACCTTGCATTACCTGTGCCACACAACGTAACACACTCTTTTCCCCCAAACCCAATCTGGGGCATGTGGCCTGAGAATATGAAGCTGCCAATGCAGTAATGTTTCAATGACATCAGTCGTGTCACTATTTGATTGCAAATCCTATTCTTGCTATAATAGACAGTGCTGATTACTTCCTCACTTAAGGCCTTTTATAAACA